ACCCAAACATGTAGGTTGCTTTGCACAAACAGTAAGCTTAGCTATGCAGAAGGGATTAAAACTTAAGCTTGACCAGCTATACGATATCATCCGAAGAGTGGTTGCCTTTTCTAAACAAAACACTAGCACAGCTTCAATCTTGAAAGCAACCTAATACAAACTGGGGCTCCTGGAAGAGAAGATTGTAATTTATGTAAATAGAAGATAAAACAAAACCTACGACATGGTCTTCCCTTATTTTGAGAAACAAAAGCAATAAAATTCTATACTGTCTAACAAGGCCATGAAGAAAATTGTCAAAGACATAGTTGCTCTCTGTGTTCAGAAGATGTTTATGTGGCTGAACAACTTGTATAGCTTCTAAATCATTTTAAGGATAGGGGAAGATATGTTTTATTAATCGTATTGATTGCTGTTGCTTTTAACATTTTCCATTATCCTTAAAATGTGTTTATTAGACAATTGCTTATTTTACACGGTTTTTCGATTTCTTTCTACGCCATCAGGTCTCATTGTGCGTAACGTTGCGATTTCGTTGATTTTGACCAATCAGAAGACTCCTTACAAAATACCGAACAGATGATTTACAATGGCGTAGAAAGGAATCGAAAGACCGTTGAGAGGTTTGAAACTCGAAAATTCCGCGTGAATCAGATACTACTGACGGTTATGAATTGTTCCATTTAATGTATTTCTTAATATTGTTTCTTAATATTATTTAGTAAATTCAAGTGATTTTGACCCGTACTCGGTTGACAAACAAACATTAGTCTATGGGTGCGTATCGAATTGTACTAAAAAAGAGAACATAACGTATGGTCTCCAAGTAAAGAAAGTGTGGTCAATAAATTAGAACACAATAATAATAATAATAACAATGATAATAACTTTATTTACCGAAGGTAACACATTAAGACATATACAGATTGCAACATCTTGTTTACAATGCGGCCTTCTAAAATAAAAAAATAAATAAAAACACACACACAAAAGAACACATATCAATCAAAGAAAATATAACATGTAAAAGAAATGATTAAATGGTTTTCACAATTTTAACATATATCTTAACACATATACTGAACATTCATACAATTCATTTTAGTTATCATTAAACATAATACTTTCATCAGTGCATTATTAAAATCTGCAATTTAAAAAGTAAAAATACCTTAACACAGTCAAAAACTTGAAACCAAGACAGACACCCATTATTACAAAACATGATAATAAAATACACATGTATGAATATAAAGAGTGTATTTTGTATATGTAATACACACGGACCGTGCTAAAGTTGATTAAATAAGTATTTCTTGAAACTATTCTTAAATATTGACAATTTTGTTTTTCTTCTTATAGTCAGTTGTATGGAATTCCAAATAACCATGGCATTAAATTGGAATGTGTCATTCAATAATTAGTACGTGGTTTGTAAGCCGAAATTAAATTTTCGTGAGATATCGATCTTAGATTATACTTTTGATTATTTGATATGGTAAGTCAGTCTCGGATATTTTGAGGGGACATATTATTAGGCGGAACTAAATAAAATGAAATTTTGAAAGGGGGTCAGGGGTTATGAAACAATTCGTAAAAAACATCTTGCCAAACATCTAAGGTTTAAGTTTTATTTTGATCTTATTTAAACTTTTTCTTTAAGGTTTTGGTAAGCATTACACTCAACAATCTCTCTAATTCATGTCGAACGAGCTTCTCAGAAACCTTGATGTACAGCCTGGTGCCAGAAACGTTATAGACAATAAGAGCAATCATTAACCAACATTACAGTTTCTTTCATGAAAAGTAGCAAATTGTATAATAAAATTATTATAATCACCGTATTGTTTTAACCTATCGCATTGCTTCAGAGGTTGCATTATCTTAATTCTGTTGCTGATAAAACAATCATATTTTTAAAGATGGTTAATACAGCTTTATATTAGCTGTTGCTAACATTTCGAAGTAAATTCAGGTTTTGTTCAGTTGAATTTGCAACTTCCTATGAACACATCGGCGGATGTTTCAAAATTCCAAAATTAACCATTTTCGTTGTGTCGTTTTGTGCGTAGATTATTTATGGATTATTTATTTTTCTCTGTTCGAAATGGCCGTGTTGAGTGACTTTTAAGATTTACAATATTTTATGACTATGCTAATTGGCATACATGCGTTTTTGTAGTTTATTCCTATTTGTCCTTGTATTTACGACATGTAATAATATTGTTTGATTGAAGTATTGTTTGTATCAACATATGTTAGTTTTGACAAGTACATTTTGTGTAATGTCAGTTCAACTTTGCGTGCAATCTACATAGAAAATTTCATTTAATGTATTTTACTGGTCTAATAATATATGAAGCGGAATCGCGTACAGCATGATGAACTGAACAAAAAGGTTAATTTGACAATATCTCTGGGGCAATAAACGTAAATTCAATAATATAATAGTATAGGATTGCTGTCTATTTGAACCAAAACTGTACCTTTTTTGGGTCGCTGCGCTTGCGCAGAGCGACCCAAAGTTATAAGCTACATCTGAAGCTTACTGCAAACCGAATTTCGGCTGAAATATACATGCACGTAGTAAATAGTTCCGTATGGTCGGTAACAAGTTAGAAAATCCGTACCTTCATTCATTACAGGAGGGTTATCATACATTTTGAAATGTATCATGATGTCGAAAATTACAGTAAATTTGTGCTGTGTACAGAAAAAATATCAATGCGCGATTGACTCACGTGACAGGTCATTGAGGTCAGCCGTGTAGATTCGACTTTCGTCAGTACGTTAATTGATACAGACATCCAGGATATTTTGAAGAAATTGTAAGTTCTTTAGTAATTTTGTCAGTTTCCTCGATTAAAGAGGAAAGACTTTATGAAACTGAGCCACCCGTGTGATCAATTTTTGAAGATTTGTTTGTAACAGGGTAACGATTCGTCACCGTGACGATTCGCCCCACCTAAAATTAACATTTTTAAAATTCATTTGGACTGAAAAATATTTATGTTTTAGCTTTTTTGCATTTGTTTGGTATTCCTTTCTATTTAATAGATAACAGATAAAGGTTTAACAGAACTAACTGTATAGTAATAAATTTATAAATTAATTTAATCTGGATTCTTAATCTTATTTGTATATTATAATATTTAATAATTAACAATAAATAAACTAGATAATAGATTGATGTTATAGATAAGTATCATACAGTAATATTGTTTTTATTTACTCAATCATAGATATTCGTTTCTACAAGCAGATTGTCAAACATTGTATTTTCTATTGTTCTATTAATCTGATAAAATAAAAGAAATTTAGACAATGCAAAGAGAAAAAGTGAAAGGTGTAATATAATCTGGATTTAAGGGGTGCAGGGGAGTACTATGGAGCTGTAGGGGCAGGAAATCTGTGTTGAAGTGGTTATGGTTGTTGATTCTAAACCACTGGCCCCTGCTGTTGGTTAGAAAAATAAATTGAGTTCGAATGGTTTGACCTATTTTACAAACTTTTATTTTTCATACTGTCACCCATCCAATATTATCTCAGTGTCTCTCCGACAAATTAAATTAGTTACACTAATAATTATATGAATACTATTGACCATGGTATTTGTAGCATGGCATTATATAATGGCAGATTGGTGTACCAAAAATTATTGTTTATGTTTACAATGCATATCAAAGAGGAAAAATAGAATCCCTTAAGAACACCCAAAATGACACAATTGAAAATGTTGCAGGCTCGGTTTGTTTGAGGATAAAAAGTTCTGGAAAATGTAAGTTACTGTCCTCGCCCCCTAGCACATACTGGCTTAAAGGCCAATATTGGCCATAATATGCCCCAGAAATGATTTTAATTTATTTTTCAAAAGCCTGTTATTTTTGGTGGCCAGTGGTATAACTTCTAAAAATATACTAAATGGGCAATTATCTGAACCAACTTTTGACTCAGCTGTTGCTTTTTAGCAATCAGTATAGTTAAAGTGATTTAGTATTTTGTATGGAAGTCAAAAAACTACTTTGTTTACATGCAAACAGTAAGGCCTTACATGTTGTAAGTCTGTCCTAGAGGAGGTGTCTGATTATTCTTTAAGGCTTTGGTTCTCACACTGACACTGAGTTCAAATACTTTGCCAAATTCAGTTTTTATAGTCTAATTATTGAAACAATCTAAACCAAAGTTTTGAAAAACAAAGAAAAAAATTAATACACAGAATCTTGATGAACAGTATCCTGTTTGTTTCAGTTCCCCCATTCTTTTTTTCATTAAGGGAACGCACGTTGTATTCTTTGGGAATCATACGCCACTTTTCATGGAATGGCACTAACATGTCACATTGGAGGTTCCATGATCACTGCCATAAAAATACACCTGCTAATGTTTCTAATTTCAAAATTTTACCATTACATGTTTAAATGTTGAATACTGCTTAACCTGGTGCTATTGGGTGTGAACAGCAGCATGCATGCACTTTCCAGTTCTATCCATGAACTGGCTCAATCAAACTGAGTCTGCAGCATTTTCAATATTGCTATTTGGACTTTCCTTTTAGAATTACTGTTTCTCTTTATGTACATAATTACCTAGTATTAAGCTTTAAATGAACAAATAAAGAGACCACTAAGGACAAACACATAATTTTTTTTTTATGCAACAGCTGGATTTTATTTATTTTGCTCAAGCATTGTCACTCAGTAATATTTGCCTGTATTTAAAAAAAGATTCTACAACTAGATTTTTTTAGAAGGTAATACCTGATCCAGAAGTGTTCTCCCACAAACAAGTGCGTGGTTCCCCATTCTGCTCTATGCTAGTGCATACAAAAACGGACGATAGTACTTAGACTATGTATCATATTAAACTTTATTTACATGATGATTAGGGGATTTTCTAATAATATGAAAAAATTGTTGATATAAGAAAAATATATAATTAAATTGATAACATGGGATTTGACTGATTAATTTCACAAATAATCATTGTATTTTATAAACATGAATGATATTATCTGAATGGTAAATATGGTCAACATTTTACTTGCTTTTGATTTGTTCCAATAGTTTGATGCATTGGCCTGTTTTGAGTTGGTATATATACATGTACATGATGTAGCTGATTTGACTATTAAGCCAAATGATTAATTTAGATAACTATAAGTTGGGAATGCTTTATTGTTGATATGAAAATCATATAAATGTTAAATAAGAAATGCATTTATTTCAGGTGTGTGATATAACAAACTGTTGTGTGAGGTTTTTAATTTGACATGGTCAAGACATACTATGATAGTATTGTTCAGTGTAAGTTCTCTTTAAATGTTTGTTTTAAAATAAAAACCCACATTTATTTTATTGAGCTCTGGAAAATTTTGAAACACATATTTGATTTAGTAGTCAAAATTAAAAACAACATTACCCTCATGGAAGTATTTCCCGTACAAAAGCAGTATACCAGCTTTTTTTGCAATAAATGCTGTTGTTTTTCCTTGTGTCCAGAATGATATGCACATACTGTTAAGTCAAATATATTTAGAAATACATTGAAAATTGTATATTTGTGCTATTCTTATTCTATTCTTCCCGATACATGTATGAATCAAAAGCTTGGCAACACTGTTCATTTTATGGACATTTTACACTGTTCAAGTAATCATTCTGGGAAAACAGAGCGAGTGCATGATCTGAAATTTTTGCAAATAGGTTTTTTGCTGAGATCTACATCAAATAGAATATCATTATCATATAATTATTCTTGAAAATTATTTCCAATCCGGTCATGTCAAAAGCCTCAGTGGAGTCCCTTTAAGTAATTCATATAGGACATTGACCTTGAGATGACTGACCATCAAGGTCAAATACTGAATTTAACTTATTGTCATATCATTAAATTTATTTGTTTTGTGTTCGCATATATATTTATAAGAAGAATTCCTTGAAAAATATTTACCTCATTTTGACTGTAAAAGTACATAAATATAACAACCTTAGAATTCAGCCATCAGAGGCCATTAATGCTAAAGGTATAAGAGTCTGAAGTTTACAATATTTATGATTTCTCTTTGGTTACAGAGAGAAACAGTTTTCTTTTTTGTATTTTATTATATTGAAAAATGTATATTTGCTGTCAAGTTGTGTGTAACTAAATATGTAACTAGTACATTTTACATTATTTTCTGTTCTTAGTAATTAATCTATAGAATAAGAGTATAGGTAAAAGAATCTCTGGTAAACAATATTGAAAATCTTAAAAGCACATATAATGTGTCAGAGATTTTGTAATTTTGTAATTCTTTAGAAAGATCAAACATGTGTTCAATAATGTTTTAATGATGTATTTACTATTTAGAGCATTGTAAATGTTTAACAACTGAAAAGAGTAACACTGAACAAACAGTAATTAATGTGTTGTAAAGGTAGCAAAATGTGAGCAGTATTATTTTGACTTCCATACAAAATACTAAATTAATGTAATTATACCAAGTGCCAGATAATTTCTCTACATGTACATGGTCAATGAGTACATGTAACTATTTGAGAAGTGCAACAAGATATGTAAAAGGAAAGTTTCAAAAATAATTTTTTTATCATTTCTAAGGCTTAATGGACCTTTAAAGTTATTATTTAATATATATTTAACACAGATATCATATGTGCAGAAAAATTGTGGTTAAATGATATAACTTGCTTGTTTAATACTGATTACTTGTGCATGATCTTTAATATAAGACATTAAATTTTGTTTTGCTTTTTTTTAGATTACTTCTGTCATGTTACTGTTTGATAACAGTTAAGGTACAGTAGGTTCAGACAAGTTATATACATGTATACAGGACAAGACAGCTCAAACTGGCAGTTTGTTATAGCAAAAAGTGATGAAGTTTCAGCCTAGAAGTCTTCATGATGATGATGGTGATGATCCTAGTTATAGATTCTTTGTAATTATCTGTAAGGAAGGGGTTTCTGCTGCAGAGAAGAAAAAAATTCATGCAGGTTAGTCATTTTTTCAATAATTAATTAAGGTCTGTTGTTGATTGCATGTCAATAAAGGTCTTTCCTAATATCATAAGGTTCTAAGGTATGTCATCTTGTGGTAATAACTGATCCCTTAGAAATTAATTACAGTAATCAAACTTTTTAAACATGTTTACTGTAATCACTTGTTGCATGGTGCATATGCCTGAAGTCCAGGATTTTGTGACAAATATCATCATGTTTTACTATTAGATTATGTGGAAAAATGATAAATGAATGAATTACAGTTTTAGGGTTTTTCCAAATTTTCAACTTGCACCAATGTTGTTGTACATAGGGTTTTACTTTCTAATGTTTGACTGATATCATTGCAGACCTTTACTAATTCAAAATCATGACAAAGAATTTAAAATTAGAAGTCTCCTTTCCAGAATTACATTAATTCATTGTAGGACTAGTAATCATACAAAAAATATATATTATTGTAAACATGTTATACTAGAAAATTAAAAATTGAAATGTATGCTCATAGTGAAATGATCCATTCTAAAGTTAAATTTTCAATTATTTTTCTGAAGAACAATAACAGATTATGCCCTGCTTCTAGTTTCTTGTATTTGAACAACTTATGCTGTTTAATTGTTTTACTAAACCTTGCTCCCACTTTGCAGTAAGAAGTTGCCCACTCTGTTCAAATGAAGCTGTCTGAAGTACCCAGTAGACAATGTACTATTTCTGGAACAACTTAATTGAAGTGAAGCTTACTATGTGAAGGAGTTATTTCTGTATTCAAAAGGAAACTTCAGCATACAGAATACCAATTGAGGTATAGTAGTCCACTTTAAATTTTTACTTTTAATCATCTAAAGAAAGCATGAGAAATAGGCGATAATAATTATTTTCCTGACATCAGAATACACTATGGTTCTGCTTGCAGTTAGAAGTGATGTTCTATTCTTGTAAAGCAGCATTAATTGAAACCAATATTTGTCCTGTCATTTAATTGAAAGTAATTGACAATATTCTTGTTTGTTTTTCAGCAGCATTTGTAAAGTTAATTTAGTTTGAATATCACACCATCCATTGCTTTTGATTTTCTTGTGACCAGAAACTAGCATTTTACATAGTGGTGTAAGCTAACTATGATAATTCATGCAAAGATATGATAAAAATTTTTATAGAAGAAATATGTCTTCGATTTACTGGTAAATTGTTAAGTATGGAGCACATTGTCTTTATGATGTGGAATATATTCAGTGCCAGATAAACAATTACTTGCAACGTGACAAATATATTATTGTTACGAGCCAGGCGTAACGAGAAAGAAAAGCCAGCAACAAACTTGTAACAATAACAAATTTATTACAGAAAAATTATTAAAGAAAAATAAAATAACAAATTATCTTTACAAATACCTGAAGTCCAAATAAAAATTACAAATGTCTAGTCTGATCCTGGAATGATCCTTTTTCAATAGCACAGTTAAATCCAAGTTAAATCCAAGAACACTTTAGAATAAATTCCCACAATAAAATCCACAAGAATAATTTATTTTAAAATCCAAGCTCCAATAATTCACTTTATATCCAAGTTGAATAATACTCCAAATATATTGATTTCTTAAAAGGTAACTGATGACTTAATAGATCACTGATGACTTAAAAGGTAAAGGTAATGAAAAATGTCAATCTATATATATTAACTAAGAAGTTTCTAGAATAGTCTTCCATTTACTACAGTAATCATAATCTAGCAACTTCACCAATAAAGATCATTCCAGAAGTTTCTATCTAAATATAATGCATGAGTTTTCTACAATAGTTAAGAACGTTCTAGTACATACATGTAGTTTATGTTCTAAAAATAGAACAATGATAATATTGGAAATACCAACTGGTCAGATACAAACTATATACATGTAATATGTTGCATACATAACACTTCCCCTCTTCAAGAAAAAGAAATATGAATGAAATGAATATTTCTTTTACATAAATTCAAACAATGTAACTAACAAATAACATAGGAGAAATGTTAAACAATTTTATACATTCATATATATGTGTATTACAAACAATAGCAAACAACAACAACAAAAAAATAACCAATTATATCATATAAATGCTATTAAACAACAACAAAAAATAATCAATCATATCATATAAATGTTAAATTTAAAATACTGCAAATAACAGTTTTAGACACGTGAAAGTGCATCAGGGATCAAATTATCTTTCCCTTTAATGTGTCTAATGTCAAGACTATATTCTTGCAAAAATAAGCTCCACCTCAACAACCTTTGATTTTTTGTTTTTAAGTTTATGCAAGAAAGTGAGGGGATTGTGATCACTAAAGACAACAACAGGCAACTTTGAAGAAGTTAGATAAACTTCAAAATGCTGAATAGCAAGAATAAGAGCAAGGCACTCTTTCTCTATAGTAGAGTAATTTTTCTGATGTTCATTAAACTTTTTAGAAAAGTAACAAACAGGATGGTCAACACCATTGTTGTCTTCTTGGATCAATACACTTCCAGCACCTATGTCACTAGCATCTACAGCTAACTTAAAGTTTTTATTAAAATCTGGTGCCAAGAGAACTGGTGCACTCTTAAGTATGGCTTTCAGGCTGTCAAATGCCATTTGACACTTGTCATTCCAAATGAATTTGTTTCTTTTCTTTAGCAAATTTGTCAATGGTTCTGCAATAACCGAAAAATTATTACAAAATTTACGATAATACCCTGCCATACCAAGAAATCGCATCAGTTGTCTTTTACAAGTAGGCACAGGAAATTCAGAGATAGCTTTGACCTTAGCTTCTATTGGTTTAACTTTACCCTGTCCCACTACATGTCCTAAAAATGTTAAAATTGCATGACAAAATTCACTTTTTGCAAGATTAACTGTCAATTTAGCATCACTAAGTCTGTCGAAGAATGCTCCTATTGTTTTGAGATGTTCCTCCCATTCATCAGAATAAATGATTGCGTCATCAATGTATGCGTCACATCCGTGTAGACCAGATATTACCATGTTTATAAGTCTCTGAAAAGTTGCTGGTGAGTTTTTCATACCAAAGGGCATGACTTTATATTGATATAAGCCGTCTGGAGTTACAAAGGCTGATATTTCTTTAGCTCTATCAGTAAGTGGAACTTGCCAGAATCCTTTTAGAAGATCAAACTTTGTTACATACTTTGCTTTTCCAATTTTGTCAATACAGTCATCAATTCTTGGTATAGGAAATGAATCAGTTTTTGTTACAGAGTTCACTTTACGATAATCTGTACACATTCTATATGTTCCATTTGATTTCGGTACAAGAATACATGGAGAGCTGTAACTGCTTTGACTTGGTTCAATAAAGTCATTATCCAATAAATACTGAATTTCTTGTCTTAGGTACTTTTGTTTTATAGGATTCGTTCTATATGGATGTTGTTTTATTGGTTCAGAGTTTTCAAGAATGACGTCATGATGTATTTTATCAGTCCGTGTGGGAATATCAGGAAATAAATGTTCATATTCATTAATAAGCTTTTTCAGTTCATCTCGTTTCGACGGTTCTAAATGAGCAAGTTTTTCATCCAGATTTTTCAGAATATCAGAGTTTTCAAGCTTTGCTGAACCAGGATCAGACTTTTCAAAATTTTCACACCTATTAGATTCAATTGAACATTGATTTTGTGGAACAGAGTTTACAAAAGATATAGGTTTACTAATTTTGCTATCTCTATCAATATATTCTTTTAACATATTTATGTGACACATTTGTTTTTGCTTTCGCCTCCCAGGAGTATTAATAATATAATTAAGGTCACTGACTTTCTTTTCAATAGTATAAGGACCAAAGTATCTTGCCTGTAATGGTTTTCCAGGTATAGGTAAAAGAGCAAGTACTCTATCACCAGGGTTAAAACTTCTTTCCAGAGCATTCTCATCATACCTTGATTTCATTTTACTTTGTGTTGATTTTAAATTAAATTTAGCTAACTCACATGCATTAGTCAACCTATTTCGAAAATCTGATACATACTGAAGCAAATTTAAAGATATGTCATCTTCAGACAGGAATTTCTCTTTTAGAAGTTTTAAGGGTCCTCGGACAGTGTGACCAAATACTAATTCAAAAGGGCTGAAGCCAAGAGATTCCTGAACAGATTCTCTTACAGCAAATAACAATAAATGGATGCCTTCATCCCAGTCTTTTTCAGTGTCAAAACAATATGACCTTATCATATTTTTCAGAGTCTGGTGAAATCTTTCTAATGCACCTTGACTTTCAGGGTGATAGGCTGAAGACCTATATTGAGTAATTCCTAACTCATGCATGACCTGCTGGAAAATACCAGACATAAAATTTGACCCTTGATCAGACTGTACTGATTTAGGTAAACCAACAAATGTGAAAAATTTCACAAGAGCCTTGACAATAGTTTTGGCTTTAATATTTCTTAAAGGAATAGCTTCAGGGAAGCGCGTAGAAGCACACATAATAGTTAATAAGTACTGAGAACCTGATTTAGTTTTTGGTAATGGACCTACACAGTCAATAATAACTCTACTAAAAGGTTCATCAAATGCAGGAATAGGCTGTAAATGAGCTTTAGGTATTGTCTGATTAGGTTTTCCAACCATCTGACAAGTATGACAAGATTTACAGTACCTAGATACATCTGCTTTAAGGCCAGGCCAATAAAAATGACTGAGAATTTTATGGTAGGTTTTATTAACACCTAAATGACCTGCCATGGGTGTTTCATGAGCCAAGTGTAATATTTCCTGGCGATAAGATTTAGGGACCACAATTTGGTGATTTACAGTCCACTCCTCTTCAGCAGGGACATCGAGCGGTCGCCATTTTCTCATTAAAATCCCATTCTTTTCATAATAACAAACAGGGACTTGTAAAGCTTCATCTTCACTATAAGATAGATAAATATAGAATCCCTAAAGAAAGCCCAACACGGCAAAATCGAAAATGTTGCAGGCTCGGTTTGATTGAGCCTGTTCATGGACGGTACTGGAAAGTAAGCCTTTTGAAAAAGGACTGAAATCTCAGGATCATTTTGTTGTTCCTGGATAAGCTGTGACCTTGACAGCGTGTCATGACCTTGATCTTTAGATCTTGGTGTAGAAAAGTCAGATATTGAAAAATCTGTCTGAGTTTCAGGCAGAGTAGGAGTGAGAGAAAAATTTATTTCATTATCAAAAGACTGACCTATAAAAGTATCAGCTAAGTCAATATCTGAACAATAATTGTCTTCTTGAATGGCCTTCTTAGCCATAGCTCGAGTAACTGCACATGAAGGGTAAAGGTCAGGAATTTCCTGCTCAATGGGGTCAGGTATCTGATCCACACAAGGAGTGTCAGTTACAAGTGGATTTACCACTACCTTATCTCCAGCTAAGTCATTACCTAGCAATAAATGAACACCTTTAAAGGGTAAGAAAGATCTTATACCTACAGCCACCGGCCCAGTTACCAAATCTGAGGACAAATAAATATTATGGAGAGGGACATTAGAAAACCCACACTCTACACCCTGAATAAGGACACTAGATCCAGAAGAAGTCTTCTCAGAAAAAGGCAGTGTATCTGCTAAAATAAGAGATTGAGAAGCTCCTGTGTCTCTTAAAATTGTAATAGGAGTAGGTGGGCAAGTATCACCGATAAGTGACACGGAACCTTCATGAAAGGAATGGTTCATAAATCTCCATTATAGAATCAGACTTGGGTTCTTTGACCTTCAAAATTGCATTGTTATCAATACAAGACTGAGGTTCAGACCTTGAAGTGGTAAGACCTGTGGGTTTGGCCTCATCACGTTGCTGTTGCCTCCTTTTTAAGGTAAAGCAATCAGAAATAAGATGTCCAGTTTTCTTGCAATAATTGCATGTAGGACGAGATAAGGGATTATGACCTTTATGTTCATCAGATGACTTTGGTTTGGGAGTATTTGACTGACTAGATGAACCAGATAAATTACCAGAACTGAACTTGGAATTAAAATGTGAGGGTGTGGACTTCCCTTTATTTATAAATGAGACTTTGTGGGTTAAAGAATAATCATCAGCTAGACGGGCAGCTTCTTCTAAAGTTTCTACCTGTTTTTCATCTAAAAAAGATTTAACATCAGAGTGAATACAACGTTTAAACTCTTCAACCAACATGAGCTGTCTGAGCTTTTCATGATTTTTATTAATTTTCTTAGATAGACACCACCGATCAAAAAGTTGTTCTTTTTCTCTTGCAAATTCGACATGGGTTTGACCAATTTCTTTCTTAGAATTTCTGAATTTTTGCCTGTAGGCCTCTGGTACTAACTCATAACCTTTCAGAATTAATTCTTTTACATTATCATAATTAGAGCTTTGTTCAACAGTAAGTTGTGTATAAATTTCACGAGCTTTACCAATTAAGACGCTCTGTAAAAGTAATGTCCAGTGCTCTCTTGGCCATTTTAAATTTTCAGCAACCTTTTCAAAATGAAGAAAATACTTATCAACTTCTTTTTCTTGGAAAGGTGGAACAAGCCTAATATTTTTAGTGACATCAAATTTTGAATTTATTCTATGTTCAAACTGATTTGCTCTCTCTTTGATTTCTAATTCTCTCATTCTTAACTGAAATTCTCTCTCTTCTCTTTCTTTTTCTAATTTTCTCTCTTCCCTTTCTTTTTCAAACTGCCTTTCCCTTTCTTTTTCTTCCCTTTCTTTTTCTAACAGTAACTGCCTTTCTTCCCTTTCTTTTTCTAACTGTCTTTCTTCCCTTTCTTTTTCTAATTGCATTTTTTCTAGTTCAAATTTAAATTGAAGTTCAAGCTCTTTTATCTTAATTTCAGAAATTTCAGAGTGTTTTTCAACAATGTGAGAAAGTGCATCTTCTCCAAAAATATCTTCATCCACAAAATAATGAATCAGAAGATTTTTAATTTCTTGTTTACGCATTGAAGATTTAATTTCTGATAAATTATACTTTTTTGCAAGATCGAGCAAATCAGTTTTCTTAGCCAAATCTAATACCTCCTGGGAAGGTTCAGCTACAAACTTTTCTAAATTAAAAGACATGACTGCTTGTTGCTGGTTTTAAACTCAGAAAGTGATGTGTTTCAAAAATTTCAAAATTGAAAGGCACACTTAATAGAACAACTATGATATCAACTCAAATGAGTAAATACGGTAATAATAAAATGTAAAGTAAACGGTAATAATTTCCAATATTGTAGCCAAAATAAATATTCAATCCCGGACGAGCCCCCAATTTCTGTTACGAGCCAGGCGTAACGAGAAAGAAAAGCCAGCAACAAACTTGTAACAATAACAAATTTATTACAGAAAAATTATTAAAGAAAAATAAAATAACAAATTATCTTTACAAATACCTGAAGTCCAAATAAAAATTACAAATGTCTAGTCTGATCCTGGAATGATCCTTTTTCAATAGCACAGTTAAATCCAAGTTAAATCCAAGAACACTTTAGAATAAATTCCCACAATAAAATCCACAAGAATAATTTATTTTAAAATCCAAGCTCCAATAATTCACTTTATATCCAAGTTGAATAATACTCCAAATATATTGATTTCTTAAAAGGTAACTGATGACTTAATAGATCACTGATGACTTAAAAGGTAAAGGTAATGAAAAATGTCAATCTATATATATTAACTAAGAAGTTTCTAGAATAGTCTTCCGTTTACTACAGTAATCATAATCTAGCAACTTCACCAATAAAGATCATTCCAGAAGTTTCTATCTAAATATAATGCATGAGTTTTCTACAATAGTTAAGAAAGTTCTAGTACATACATGTAGTTTATGTTCTAAAAATAGAACAATGATAATATTGGAAATACCAACTGGTCAGATACAAACTATATACATGTAATATGTTGCATACATAACAATTATATTTTCAGATATTTGTAGCTTCAGTTATGGGAGAACATAAGATTAATTGAACTGGAATCCCTTCAGACGTTGACATAGCTAAATTCCACAGTTTCAACTATAAATGGACATTGAATAATTATACATTGGTTTTATTTTATACATGTATCTGTTAATATTTTTGTTTTCAAATATTTCCCAATATTGTTAATTTTGGATAATATAATGCCACAGAAAACTTGTCGGTCTTGGAGTATGGCTGTTTAACAAAAACACTGCAGATTGTTCATCAGAACAATGAAATTACAGTTTTGCTCATTAATGAACTAATTTACATAAATATATAATTTTTGTAAGCATGAAGAAATTTGGAACATATCATATAATGGATATTTGTTTCTTTTGCATGCAAGATCCAAATATATTTCATAGAGTGAACAGCAGATTAAATATTTTCATGAATGGCATTGAAAAACATATATTATGTATTAGTATAACTTTGCCACAATGTTGGTAAATGGAGGCTGCTATTTTACTGTGACTGAAAGTAGTTCAGATATGACGCCTTATGATGTCCGAGGTTTATAGCCCATCATACAAGCCAAAGAGAGCAGATTTTTTTTCTGTGTAGATTCATTAATTTTCAATGTTCATAACTGAAAGTGATTCTGTCATATTTCCTGAATTTGTTTAATTTCCTTCCTGATTTGCAAATATTAATTATCTACTCTTTATTTATCACATTTTTCTGAGAAATAAATGTTTTTCCCACAAAATTTCTGTTTGTTTATAGGCTTTTCATCCTCATTCAAATAAAGTCTGGCTACTTTTGAAATTATACTTTATTGTGAAATAATCTAAAAGTAATGTCATTTTTTTTCTGAAAAGCATGTTATAAGTTATGGTGTTCAATTGATTTCTGAAGGACAACTTATGAAGGAAATGAAGTGTGTTGATACTTGCCATGTTAGTATCAAAAGACAGATTTAGTTCAATTTTGGTCACAATAAATTATTTTTGATGCAGTTATGCCTCTTTTTAGCTCGACTTTTTCTTTTTAAAAAATAGAGGTATCGTAACAGTCATGTTGGCATTGCCGAGGTTATCCACAAACTTGTATTTTGATCATTACTTTTTAGCTCACCTGAGCACAATGCTCATGGTGAACTATTGTGATCCTCCACCATCAGTTGTCGTGGGTCGTCAAAAATTTCTTTAAACAAATCTCCCCAGAAACCAAAGACTGCACAGTAACCAAACTTTGTACTCATTCACAATCACTGAAAGTTTATCCCTGATGGAACACTTATTACTAGTATACATATAAACAGAAAGATTTTTCAACCATTTTCTTTTCGAGTTGTTTGAACTTGATAACTTGAATATCAGATTGATAATAACTATAATCCCCAAGAATGAGCATGTTTTTCATATGCCTTATAAGTAGATGAAATTATCAATGCTTAGTCATTGTTAATAGAGGACTTGGTTATCTACTACCAGCTTCTGCTTCTGTCAGTAGTGTACTCTTAAAATTTATTCAACTTTCAAATTATTATTTTAGGATATAAAGCAGTTTGGTTTTTCGATCTCAACTGAACCACTTGAGAAAAAATACTGGTTTTTAGTACTTTTGATAAACCGTGTTGTAATTGTTCGATATCAATGATAAATCATCCTGAATTAAATCAAATGGCAAATATTGCTCTTTCCTTTGTACTCAATCATTTCCACTTGAATATGACATGAACATTTTCAAAAAATTTGCAAAAGGACATGATTTGGCCTTTCAAGTGATCACCAGCAATATAATGTCATATAAATTTGTCAGCGCAAGCGACCCTCCAGTGCTTTCAGTGCTTTGATTTAATTATCTCGGCATCTTAACATCATGTAGTTAACTGCTACACAATGAAAATTTCATCTGAAACCTAAAGGGTGTATTCAAAAATGAGACATGTGGATTTGAAGATTAATTAGCTTAATCAATGAAACGGATATCACACTAACTTTAACAATTCCGAAGACATTCATAAATGTCCTCAGAACTAAGATAAGGCGATTATTTTTTTGTGGTATTCGGACAACATATTATAGGATTATGATATTTGTGCAACAGAAGAACAAAAACACACACAAAAAAGAAAAAAAAGACACATGATTCTTAAATAATCCGCAGTAAAAAAAAATCGCCGGTTTAATCGTTCATGCTTTACAATCTTTTACGACAAATTATTGATGTGTGCTTGCAGTATTCTTAAATACAGACTAAACATGAGTTTGACGAGTTTGTAGCTGTAAAAAGCCAAATTTGAATCTCATGATACATTGTAATCACTTTTAATGAACGTTTGTTATGATAACTCAAGTTGAGTTAAGCAGTCTACACATTTCAATAGGATGATTATTATTAAGGACAACCTGAAATTATATGACAAACAAAAGGCAAGTGAACATCATAATCAATATAAAATGCAGAAGATTCAAATACATTTGAGAATAAAAATTGTTCTGTACGCAGAAACTGTACCAAGCTCTGGGAGTACTGTGATAAATTATATTTGATAAATTTATCAATTTGTATTTACGCTAGAATATTTATGTCAGTCCGATATCGAGATAAGTGACTGCTGATAGACGATTCAAACATGCATATACCCCAATGTTAACGCCGAGAAATGTCTAAATCACTCATTTCTTCTTTCTTTGAGTAATTTATCTCAAGGGAATTTTTACGTCCGACTCGCAGACGGACATTTTTACGTTAACTTTATTATATATATATTACTTTGATGTACTTTCGACAAACACTTTTAAAACCAATCTCTTTAGAAACTTGCTTTACCGTTATGCCCGCAATGTCAGCATGACCTTGGCATGCTCCTCTAGCTCCCTTAAATACTGAAATATATTTTTAAAAATAAGGTATGTATCGTTTCTGTTTGACTTAATTGCATTGTAAAATATTTGTTTGTCTTTATCCAGAAACAATGACGTAAATTATAAAACAAGTACATTTGCAAAATGACCTTGTCTTTGTTATGCTCTTTAATATTGATAACTTGTCATATATGATTATTTTGTGCCCAAAAGACTGTTTTTTTTAATTAGTCGATTAGTTTAGTTTTATGATAGGAATTTGTTACATTTTGATCGTGTTATGTTATAGTACCTGGTATGTTTTATTATGGGCATCATATTGCAAAAATACAAATAAAATAATAATAATCAAAATAATAGAATCCACTACAGAAAACAAATTTAAGATTCATTTTATTATACACAAGCGTACAATTTATCACATTGGACTGAATTATTGTCATAATATGCTAAAACATGATGATTTAACGAGTATTAGATTGTGTTAGTTTCAATCAATAAATGATTGATTTAGGTTGGTTGTGTATTTATTTATAACATTTCCTCTTTGAATGCTATGATTTAGTCTTGGTTCCCAAACTGTAATAATTAGGATTTTACAATATACATTTTCAACTGATTCGAATTATCATAAGGTTTTTGCACGATATGTATACATACATATCAATATCATCTATACAACGGTAACCTTATGGCACGGGTCTACTTCTGCTGAAAACAACTCGGCTATGAGAAGGATCAACCATAATCATACAGTTAAATAGACGATATTGAATGAGTGTAAGTTTAATACTAAATTTATTAAACAATTTGAATAAAATCATATTTTGCGAGCCTCTGGCGAGTTCAATAAATTTAGTATTGAATCTTGACACATATCATATTCTATTTTTCACATAACATAAATAGGAGCGGTTAACCGTTCAACAGAGTAATTTGCATTGACGCGCCTTTTATTGAAACGCTAACATTAGTGCGCTTTAACGCTTTGTTTGTATATAAGGCAAATGACGTCACGTCAAAGTGTAATTACACTAGTGTTATATCGTCTTCATTAAATGGCTTTACTACACTCCCGTGCTGCGGTTTATATGATAAAAGATTGTATATTATGAGCAAATATTAAGTATACCACGGACACCTTATGCTACATATTTAAAAATGCATGGGTGAATTATATGTTAAGATCCATAACATGTACTACAAATTATTTGATATTACATTCATATTAATCGACAACGACAACAGAAGACAAAAAGCTAGTTACACACTACATCACAAACATGTGACACAGTTAATGTAATATTGATTACAAAAAAACCACCGTGATTCAGCAATCAAATAAAAATCTAAAACAAATTTTTAATCAATAGCAAGAAATCATACCGATAATCTTCAAAACGCAAATATTTAATATAATTTATCATTAAACAAGAAGAATCATTTAAAAGATACTCGGCCGAAGTTAACTTTGTAAGCTTTTATTTTATGTTAGAGTCATTTGAAAAATGACACACTCTGAGATGAAAGTCTTCTTAAATGAATGTGTCGTGTTTCAGGAAAGGGAACTCATTTTCTAACACATCTAAGCAGAGTCGATAGGTTATTATATTTATAAATACTTGATTAATTTGCAAAAATATAAGCAAAATATAATTATTATACCAGTTGAACATATCATTGTTAATATAATATATAGGACACTTACTGAACATCATAAACTAAGGGTACTAAGCTAACACTTCGGATATTTTCATGTGCATGAGAAAACGAACATGATCGTGAACGTTCTGGAGTACTTGTTATTTTATTACTTATAAATCAGTAAGGACTTGTGTAAAATCAATTGAGTATTTTCCTATGTAAAATAAACTGGATCACTAGGAAATGTAATGAGATCTCATTGCAGAGTAAAATGTTGTGTGAGAAGAATTATGTTTAAACAAAAGATAAATATCTCAGGAATTCGACTAGAAAGTTAATGTACATTTTATTTAGGAACTCTCATTTATAGTTTATTCTATATTGGCAAGAACTATCCTTTACACTTAATTTTATAATGGCCGATGGAATTTCAAGATTTCAATTTGTAATTTAAAAATGACTTATGAAAAATTATGCTTATATTAATAATAATAATAATAATAATAATTATAATAATAATAATAATATAAAACAATAATAATAATTATAATGAAAGAAAAAAGAATAAACCAAAAAAGTCACCTATTAACATATTTATTATGGATCAAGTAATAGATACCAAACATAGTAAGAGACGGATAAATTACCTTTGAGAATGTCACACTTTATGTCACTGTTTATAAAGAAAATATATATGAAATGGAATAAGTCTTGTATTTCCTTATATTACTACTGGTCGTTTTGATCAAGTATGACATTCCAATATGCAATGTTCTTTTCAAATTTGTTATACATAAAATAATGTAATTACATGCATAACTTTACCTCGAACTTAAGAATCGGTGCCGTGTGACCTTCTTTTACATAAACAATTAAAAGTTGTTTGTATACATGCTGCAGATTCTACCAAAGTTATGATTGTTGTTTTGTCATAATTAATGATTGAAGTTTCACAAAAATGCATAGCCATTTACAATGCCTTTCCCTATAGCTGAAGAACTTAATAATTTAAAAATTCTTTCGTTGCTGATTGAAACACTATAAACCTGTCAGACATTAATCATTGTTTCAATTCCAGAGGTAAATAAAATATGTGTTTACCAGACGATTCCAATTCTCAGTTGTACTTAAACAATAAATATTACATAATATTTATGACAGTCACTCTATGATTATATGTCATTTGTTTGACGGGCAATCATGCACTGAAACCATTCAAAATGATGTTGTAAACAAACAGTGATGATAAAACAATAACTATTGGACACATCAGATAGTATCATTCATCATTATAACCTTCAGAATTAATTGCTTTCAAAAATTCACTACCCAAGTCAAACTTAAACGGAGGATATAGTTACTATGTTAATGGGTGCTTATTACCAACAATGATATGATTGGCCGTTGAAACATTTCTGAATAATGCAGAAATAGTGCTTGTCATAAATCTTTACATTTTATCATTTAGTGTCGGTCATACAGTCTACAAAAACATGTGATGTAAACAAAACAAACGGGGCATAACAGTCCGATCAAGTATAGGAAATGCTCTTTACATCAGTATTTGACTGCATTGAAACAAAAAACGCCTTGAAGTAATATAATTATTATTTGTAATAGATTATCTGTACCACATTCCGCGGGCATGTTAGTTAACTTCTTAACAAAAAGTGATATTGAA